AGACCCTCACCCACCACAGATCCTCACCCATCACAGACCCTCACCCATCACAGACCCTCACCCACCACACAGAGCCTGTCCCAGGCAGCCCCTGACCCCCAGAGCCCCAGGCAGAGCCTCACCCACGCAGTTGACCCCCGTGTAGTCCAGGTTGTATCCGAAGGGGCACTCGCAGCGGAAGGAGCCGTCGGTGTTGATGCAGGCCCCGTTGATGCAGACCCCCAGGTTCTCCGAGCACTCGTTGACATCTGCCAGGGAAACCACAGGGATAAAACCTCCCACAGCCACAAACAGCCCATGAGACATCCAAGTGATCCCTGGAGCTTCAGATTCTCCCTCTCCAGAGCCGGGGGCCGAACCTTTGGTGAGCAGTTGAGCTTGGGAGAGCCCCCTAGTCCCATTCCTTTCACCCCTTCCCTGCCTCTGGGATCCAACCCTGCTCTCCAGGAGCTCAAGTCCGGTTGTTTTTAGGCAGCAATCCCCCCCAACCCCAAATTTCTTGTCATCCCTAGAGCCAAGCTCACCTTCTCGGGTGTCACCCGGGCCTGGGATGGCTCCGTGGCCGTACGGACACAGCTCCTGGAAGGCAACTGGGAGGAAGCAGGAAAGTGAGATCTGCTCACAAGGGATTCCACTCACAGCAGCTAAAATGGGCTTTGGAGGCTTCTAGAGCACGATGGGAGCTTGAGAACCCCCAAAACGCTGTCTGGCTGGGAAAAACCCATGCCTGCCTCCGGTGTGGAATCATGGAATTATGGAATCATGAAGGTTGGAAAGCCCTCTAATGTCATGGAGTTCAGCCATTAACCCAACACCACCCTGTCCACCACTAAACCATGTCTCCAGGTGCCACATCCACACGTTCTTTGAACACTCCCAGGGATGGGGACTCCAGCACTGCTCTGGGCAGCCTCTCCCAGTGCTTGAACACCCTTTCAGTGAATAAACTTTTCCTAATATTCAACCTAAACCTTCCCTGGCACAACTCGAGGTTGTTTCTTCTTGTCCTGTCACTTGTTACCCGGGAGAAAAGCCTGACCCCCACTTGGCTACAACCTCCTTTCAGGCAGTTGTAGAGAGCTTCAGGTAGTTGTGGAGAGAGTTGTGGAGGCCCTGAGATAACACCAAGGTTGTGGGTTTGGTCCTTGTGTGGGCCATTCACTGAAGAGTCGGAATTTGATGATCCCTGTGGGTCCCTTCCAACTCAGAGCATTCTGTGAGATCTCTGAGATACTCTTGCTTTATCTAAACCCCTGGAGAGCACCAAGAGCAGATCCAAAGCAGAAATAACCTGCCTGGTTGCTGCAGCCCCAGGGAATTCTGCAGCCCCAGCGAATTCTGCAGCCCCAGGGAATTCTGCAGCCCAGGATGGGCTCCCAGTTCTCCAGGCATGGACAAACCCCCTTTGCTGGCTGCCTTCCCTGCCTTTCCCCACACAGGGAGCCGGGTCCCAGCATTCCTACCATTCCCTTCCTGAGGGCACAGCTCGCAGGGATCTCCCCAGCCCTCCCCTGGCATCTTGCTGCAGCAGCACCGAGCCTTGGTGGTGTTGAAGGCCTTGGGCACGGAGCACTTCCCGTTGTCGAAGCGGGTGAAGCAGAAGCTCTGGCGAGTGTCTGCGGGAAGATGAGAGAATTCCAAGGTCACACAGAGGTCCAGAAGTTGTGCTCCCTCCCCACCACGAGCAGCAGCACTCACCAAAGCAGCGCCGGCCGTTGTCAGACAGCACAAAGCCCGGGGGACAGACGCACTGGAAGCTGCCAGGGGTGTTGGTGCACGTCCCAAAAAGGCAGATGTTGGGCTCCTCTTCGCACTCGTTGATATCTGGGAGGAGCAGGGACACACAGAGCAGCCAAAGGTCACTCCTTTCCTCAGGAAAACGAGGTGAAGGTGATGTCTTGGAGCTCTGATGCCTCATCACCACGTCCCCAACCTTTAACCCTCCCTCAGAGAAAAAGGGGCGGTGAAAATGGGCACAGCAAAACCCTTGAGCCTCCTCTTCTTCTTCTTCTCCCACCTCCATCTGTGAAGGAGATGTCTGGGAGCTCTGATACCTGCAGGACATCACCA